TTGGTGTTGTTGACGGCGCTGACTGTAATGCTCGACGAGCCGCGAGGTTTCCGCAAGCTTCTTGCTCGTCTCGGCTSGTAAGCTGTGTTGGTGTTATCAGCCCGGAAACGGGCTATTTTAATAATGTGGTGTGGTCGGCGTTGGCTTCAAAGATCGTCGCCGTTCGCGGGTCTGGACTCTGGSTAGTCGTGTCCGATTCGCTTCTTAATGAACTACAACGTGTTTCGTATTCGGCTTCGTCGTCGGTCGTTCTCCTTTTCCTTCTTGTAGACAGCAATGAATCTTGTTTGATAAGTTCTTGATGTCTTGAAGGTTGAAGGAGTACTGGGTGACGATCAGTAAAATGCACCCGTATATATACCAGTTTTTGCTGTTGTGGCTGTTTTCATTGGCGGAGAATTCTGTTATGACGAGTGAAYATGACATCGATCCTATGATCTATTCTGCTCCGTTGATGTCATTTTCGCTCGTCATAATCGTTGAGCATACTTGTGAAGAATCACCTAGTTTTTATCCGTATGTATGGTTGCTCGTATGATTCTGTCTTGATATGTGCATTAAATTGGTGGCCGTGAGAACGGCCGTTTTATGTGTTGTTGTTTGTGCCGTATCAAAAAATTATTAGGCCTAGTAAATCTGAATACAGCAGCCCTATAGTTCTAGTAAAAAAGAAAAACGGTRACTATAGATTATGTATTGACTATCGTGAGCTTAATAAGTATATAATAAAGGATAGGTTTCCCCTTCCGTTGATAGATGATAATATAKATTTGTTAAAAGGGAAAAAATACTTTACTTGTCTGGACCTCAAGGATGGCTTTCATCRTGTTAATATTGCTAAAGATTCGGTAAAGTACACCTCATTCATAACAYCTTTAGGCSAATTTGAATTTTTAAAAATGCCCTTTGGGTTGGCCACGGGTCCCTCGTGTTTTAGTAGATTTATTCAAGACATATTTAGTGAATTTATTCGGAAAAAAGAAATAATCGTGTATTTTGATGACATTATGATCGCCACCGAGTCTATTGAAGAACATTTAGATTTACTTATCAGGGTTTTGTGTGTAATGAGAAACAAGCAACTTGAAATACGTTTGGATAAGAGTGAGTTTCTCAAATGCCAAGTAATCTACCTTGGATATAGTATAAGTCAACTTGGTATCCGACCAAATCCTAAAAATATTAGTATTGTTCAGAACTACCCAGTTCCAAAAAATCATAGGGAACTTCAAAGTTTTATAGGCTTAGCATCTTATTTTCGACGCTTCGTCCCAGATTTTGCAATCATTGCTAAACCTCTGTACAACTTACTTAAAAAAGGAATTATTTTTGAGTTTGGAGAAGAGCAACTTAAATCGTTTGATTCTATTAAAGAAAAGTTGGGAGCACAGCCGTTGTTAGCTATTTATGATCCGAGAGCGAGTACAGAGCTTCACTGCGACGCTAGCAGTCATGGGTACGGTGCTATTCTGCTTCAAAAACAGGTAGATGACAAATTCCATCCTATATTTTACTATAGTCATAGAACTACAGACACTGAGTCGCGTTATCACAGCTACGAGCTGGAAATGCTAGCTATTATTAATGCCATTAAGCGTTTTCATGTATATCTATTAGGGATACATTTCAAAATAGTTACTGACTGTAATAGTGTTACACTAACACTACAGCGAAAGGACATTAACCCGCGTATAGCCAGGTGGGCCATGTTCCTTCAAAATTATTCATATGATATCGAGCATCGCCCAGGATCACGCATGCAACATGTTGATGCGCTAAGTCGTTGCAAACAGATAATGGTGTTAGAGGCTTGTACTTTTAATCAAACTCTTGCGATCAAACAGGGAACCGACCCAGATATTAAAACTATATTTGAGTATCTTGAAAAGTCAGAACACCCGTTATTTGAACTTAGAAATGGACTTGTATATCGAAAGGGTAACGAGCGGTTGCTATTCTATGTTCAGGCAGATATGTGTGAACAAGTAATTCGTTCCTGTCATGATGAAATTTGCCACGTAGGTGAAAGTAAGACTATAGAACTGATTAAACAAATATACTGGTTCCCAAAATTAGCTGAACGCGTTAAAAAGTACATAAGTAACTGTCTAAAATGTATTATTTTTTCCCCAAAGGAAGGCAAGGGTGAAGGCTTATTAAACTTGATTGATAAAGGAAATAAACCATTTCAAACGATACATGTTGATCATTTTGGCCCAATAAATCAAACTAAAGGTCGATATAWGCATATCTTAGTTATAGTTGATGCATTCAGTAAATTTTTAACCTTATATCCTGTTCGGACAGTAGCAGCAAAAGAAACCTGTTCTAGACTGTCCCAATATTTCAAATATTATAGTAAACCTTTTAAAATCATATCTGATCGTGGTTCTTGTTTCCGCTCAGAGATATTCCAAGAATTTTGTCAAACTCATGAGTTTAAACATATTAAAACTGCAGTAGGCTCCCCATCATCAAATGGACAAGTTGAGAGATATAACAGAGGTCTACCAGCGATGTTGTCTAAGCTAATGCATGAACATAGTAATGATTGGGATGAGTATTTGTATAAAATTCAATTTGCAGTAAACAACACAATTAATAGGTCAATCCAAAATACACCCAGTAAACTTTTATTTGGCATCAATCAAATAGGTGAGCAAAGTGACTATGTGAGACTTTACCTGGAAGCTATTAGTGAAACTGACGATGTTAATGATACTCCTCGTGACTTAACAAAGTCCAAAAGCAATGCTCAGGTTAGTATTCAGATGGGTCAACTTCATAACAAAGCTTACCACGATTTAACGAAGCAAGMAGCTACTAAGTATACAATAGGTGATTATGTAATGGTTAGAAATGTTGACACTGCACCTGATACTTGTAAAAAACTTTTACCTAAATTTAAAGGCCCTTATAAAATAAGTAAAATACTTCCTCACGACAGATATGTCATATCTGATATCGAAGGGCATCAGGTGACTCAAATTCCATTGAATACTATTTTTACAGCAAGAGATATTAAACATTGGATTAAAATTTGATAAACTGTTTTTTATCTATTTTTATTTAGATTGTATATTCATACTTGTGTTATATTATAATTTGTATTGTAAGGTAACAATAACTTGTATTAATAAATTATGTTTGTTATATTAATTTTGTATTACACTGTAAAAAAAAAATAAAATGTACAGATCGAGGTCGATCTAAACGTCAGAAATGGCCGAAGCTGTAGTAATAAATAATAATGTAAATAAATAATAATGTAATGATGTGATAATATGATACTATGATTATTATAGTTTTGTGTTGGTAGACAGTAGTTCGTCTCGACGACCCATCGAGTGCGGAGTAGCCCGATGTCGAGTTCTTTTTATATGTTTCTTTGATATATTTTATATTTGTCATACGTTAATTTTTTTTATTTAAATAAAGGTTTTTGTGCCGCTAATAATTATTTATATGCAATATTAATTGATTTATCATTACACCTGACCGTGACGCCCCTACAATAATTAAATTATAATTATTTTATAATCCAATAATTTTATAATTCATCATATTTTATTTTGAATTATAATAAATTATTAAATCAATTTTAATTTTAATGTACCTACAAATCATTAGCGATGTAGACCAGTAGCAGCACGAAATTGCGGTGGCTTTCTCGCACATTGTTGGGATATACGCATATACGGCTAGTATATCCATAAATAAATATAACATATTAAAATATTTGTTATTACCTATCTAATTWTAGTACAATAATTATTGCTTTCAATATATTTATTTTAAATCGACTAAGAATTTCTTATTAGTTATTACCATAACGTCACATCTTGTGCAAGAAGGTGCGTGTATTTTTGTTAAATTTTTACGGCTTTTCTGAGTTTGAAAAATGGATTACGAAGGATTCCATTACAAAATTAATAAWACACGTGGTGGTAAACGGTAAGTAACTCTTTTTTTTGTTCGTTTTTAAGACATACTATAATCATCAAAAGAAGACATCATAATCAAGCCTTGGCATAAACGCGTTAAAAAGTTAAAAGTTAAGTTAATTGAAAATGTTGATATAACTTTTAACTTAACTAAGTTAAAAAAGAATTAGGTTAACTGTTAACTTTAAACTTTTTTAAATGTTTTCCATTAACTTAACTTAACTCAGTTAAAAAATTATCATTAACTTGCCCAGGCTTGATAATAATATTAAACACTGAAATAGCTAACCTCTACCTACCTACTTATTGCAGTTATTACATATGTTCAAGCCCAAATGTCTACTGTAAGGGTACGGCAGTACAATTAGAAGATGGTACTATAAGACATAATAAACCTCACACACATGAACCATATGTTGAAGTGTTCAACGAGCAGGAGGCTAAAAATGTTTTTCGAGGTACGTTAATCGAAAGATCCAAAACCGAGACATTAGGACTGAGATCGATATATGATAAAGAAGCAATTAGGTAAGAATAATTTCATCTATCAATTTCCCCACAAATGTATTTTTAACAATTATTAACTTATACACAAACTAGCAACTACCTACCCGTTACAATAATTTGCCTTTAATTATATTTGTTATTTGTTTATTTATTATTTAATAATTTTTTTTTTCAAATATACTATCAGGAATAGGTAATCCAGATAGTTTTAAATTTGAATTAATTCATATTATAGTAATTAAACTWTAATGAATAACTAATACTTGAAATACTTAAAAATAATTTTACAGGTTTTCAATTAAAACATAAATACCTACTTTTAAGTTTCAAATTGCAAATTTATACTAATAGGTAATACTGTAATAGATGTCTATTTATTTTTCTGTTAATAATAATTATTATAATTCAGAAGAAAGAACAAATTTATAATAATATGAAATTTATTAAAATGTATTAATACATTAGTACCTTCTTCTAATGGTAAAAGTAAAAAAAAAAAATATATTTATTAATAAAAAGTACAACAAATGTATAACAATATTTATAAAATTAGTTTCCCAAACGACTTTTAATACTTTCTCTTTCAATTGAAAGTCGTTGTCTCTTAAAATTTAAATCAAGTCTTTCAGTTTTGATCTTTTGTTTTTCATCTTTCAACTCCAATAATCTTTTAGACATAAAATCATCATCGATTTTGTTTTGATGCAAAATATGTTCGTTAATAGTTTTATTTCTATTACTTTGAGGAACTATATTAAAAATAAATTATTAATAAAACAAAATAACATTTTTAAATCATTACATACCTTCAAACATATTTAATTCTTGAGAACCAATTGACACTTGGGATAAATTTAAAAGTTCTTTTTTATCAAATGTGTTGTACCAACTTTGGAGATCTGAGGTTTCATTCCAATCTGGATTAATCATGATTTTAGAAGATCCAGAAGACACCCTTATTTTATTGACATTGTTGTAATCAATAATTTTTCCTCTTAGTATTGCCATAATATCTCCTTCATCAGCATTAAAAGTAGTAGCTTGTGTATCCCATAAAGTAACAGTAACCCAAAACAAAAGTAATTTTAATATAAAAATGTATCTTGTATTCTTTTACAATCAGTATGTACCTACATTTGTTTATAAATCAAAATTAATAAACTTGTAACGATTTAGGTTTATGACAGAGATATTACAGAATGTAGATACTTAAAATAATTAGTTTATTTTAAGGAGAGAAATATATTTAAAAATACATTTTTTAATACAAATTATTAATTAATATCATATTTCTAAAATCTACAACAAATTTACTGCATAATACAATGTATTTAATAAGTTAAGTTAGGGAAACATTATAAAAACATTAACAAATACATGGCAATAAGTACTTATGCTAACTCCAGWTTTGTGACAAGCATTTTAAACAGGTTATATTTTCCTATACACATTATGCTATTTAATAAATTATAAATTTAACTTAAATTTATTGTAATTTGTTCAACATTTTTATTTTTTAGTACCTATTATTATAACACCTATTTATAACTTTAATATTATATTATATACTTGGTTACATTTCACAGAAATCCATCTGCAGACATTCTCTATGGTTGGCCAACTGCTGAATCCTCAATGCGCCACGCAAGAAGGCAAACCCTACCGTCATTGCCATCAACGCTGCGCGAATTAAGCGAATATTTCGATCTAAATCCAGAAAAGTAAATAGAAGAAAATTCAATTAAAATAGCAACTTTTTTAATGTATGATTTCCAATATTTCCAATATTTCCAACTGCTTACAGGTATCAGTGTAATAATTCTCAGTTGTATCAAGAGTGGGTTGTTGACAATGCTGGCAATTACAGTATTATATTTGCATGTCGGGAGTTGATTAGTGCCGTGGTTCATCAAGGAGCCACAGAACTACATGTAGATGCCACGTTTAAGGTAGTTCCATCTACACCTTATTGTCGACAACTTCTCATCATTCATTTGATTTTGCAAAACCATGTAAGCTAAATATGTAATTACTTTTAAGTATTAAGTTTAAAATATAATATATTACAATAGAATGTATTTTTAGTCTATACCTATATGCTATCATCATGATCGATTTTGAAGCAGCCCTTCGTAATGTTTTTCTTCATGTTTATCCTGAAGCTCAGATCTTTTCATGTTGGTTCCACTTTGTACAGGTATGCTATTTAAAATCCAATAAATATTAATTTTTCAGCGAGTAAAACAAAATATCAATTAGATGTTTGGAAATTAGGTTTGGAAATGCCCCTTCCTCACGTCTGACTACAAACATATCATGTACTTTTTTCTTTTGCTGTTTTTTAGGAACAGTAAACTTATAATTTGTTCATCTCGTTCCTCTTCTTCAATTATATGTTGAATGACCAAGGATGTCACGTCTTCCATGGTGAATGGTTGGTGATGTACTAAACTAGTATATGTAAAAATGTTTAAAATATTTGACTGCATGCAGTTGACTGTAAAAACAAAAACAGTTTTGCTGCATGCGACGGTCGCTGTAGTGACTGCATGCAGTTACTGTWGCATTCGGCTGCAGAAACGAAACCGCACCTTTATCTATAATAATTAATAGTATTCTTGTCTATTGTCTAACAGTCTGTATTAAAACATATTATAATAGCGCGTCATTCCTTATATTATACATATATATTTACGCTTTTCATTTTTGTTTATAAACATTTTAAATAATGAATTCTAAAAAGCCAAAAAGTTTGAGTTGCTAAAGAACGTGAAAAAAAAAGATTAAACTACTAATTGCAGCCCCACCATGTCAAAACATAGTATCTACAACTTATACTTTTTGAATAGTTACAAATATTTAAAATCGTTTGAGGATAAATCGTTATCGTTACGCTATTTCRTAAAAATTTAAAATTCAAACGTACTTAAATTTTTTCCTATAATGATGTTTCGAGTTTTTTCTATAGCTACTTGAAGGAAAACTAATAGAAAACTTAGTGTTGTATCCTTAGTTATAAATACAAAAAAATTTATGATTTTTCAACTTCAAAATTACTTGCAAATTTTCGCGTTTTCGACAGATTTCGTAAAAATTTGAACTACCTATAAACGTTTATATAAAAAAATTGTGCCTAACAGTTTTAATTTTTTTAGCTACAATAAGAACAACTCATAAGGAACCTTGTATTAAATTTTCAAGTTTTTTGGTCATCAACATTTTTTTTTACCGGCACTTCAAAAAAAAATTATAAAAAAAATTTAAAATTTCAATGGTCTATAAATAACTCAAAAAAAGTCAAAACATTTTGAAAATTAAACTGTATATATGTAATACTAATATAAACATTTGATGAAAATTTAAACTATTCACAGTGATTATTTTTTTGAATTACATTTTAGCATATATTCCGATTAGCTTTTTTTAGTAAAAATGAATTATAATAATATTATAAATTGACTAATGGAACTGTAGGTATACAACTAAAAATTATAAAATAGTTATAACACATAAATTATTTAACTAGCCAAGCTATGAAAAAGAATTATTATGATAACTTAATTTCGAATAAAATATAATACATGTGGTGTTACACTAACATTTTTTGTGTTATTTAGTCTTCTTATTTTTCTGTTAATATCACCATGCAGTTCCCAAAACCCACTTGCACGGTACAYATAAGACACATAATATCCCATCTTCAATATTTCTGAAGCAATGTATGCAATTACAGCAATAAATCTAAAACTACTATGAAAAATAATATAAAATTTAACATCTAAAATAATAACAATTAATGAAATAAACTCGTATAGTATGATTGTTATTGGTTTTTACAATGTTTAAATGTTTAATTAAGAATACTCTTTAAAAATGCATTACTAGAAAATTATAATACAAACCAACAAATCTTCAACATTTTTTTTGTTTTATAATTTATACGATATAGTATTTCATTTTTCACGATAAACATTACAGATTAGAATGCTTTCATGTGTATGTCGCATCCACATAGTGAAATCACTCATTTCATGAACTGGATATCCAGTTAGTGAAATTCATCCAGATCGTGAATTTTGATGAAAATTCATTATATAGACATTATATATTTCATTTCATGAAATGGACAATACCAACCTATATTATGTACTTTGTGTAATTATTATGAAACAAGATTATTATGTTATTTAGCAATAAATATATAATATAATATATTATTAATTCAAAGAATAAAACGGGCAAATTGCCAATAGTACAAGTAAATAAGTAAGTTTAACAATAAGTTGATACGGACATCGTACAATAACATAAATTAATAATAATAATAATAATTAAGAATATAAACTAAAATGGAAACGATTGCATAAAATAAAATATCACCTATTATTAGTAACGTAAGTTTTATAAATTGAGGATAATGGAGTAAAAAAACAATCAATATTAGATGCAAGTTTATTACACAGGGACATGGCTCTAARAATAGGGGAGTTTTTTAAATTATTTTTACTGTGTGATGGTAAATAGAAAATGGGAGTAGTTCGATGATTATAAGCAGGGATATTGAATGATATATGTTCTAATAGTTAAGGTGCATCAATATGGTTATTAATTAGTTTATATAAAAATGAAATACCAGCTATCATCTGTTATGAATTTTGAACTACAAAACAATTTGCAAATATTTTTGGTTTTGACGAATTTTTGTCATTATTTGAAATTCAAATGCTAATAAAAATTTAATTTGAATTTCCGGTGAACATTTTTTTTGTGATAAATGTTTCATAATATGATAATATGTCAACACTGATAAAACTGCTATCACTGTTTATCAAATATATTGTAAGCTCTCTCCTTGATGTCACTGTGTGTGTTTTTCTAATAAAAGTGTTTCAAGCACATGCTTAACAATCACAACTTTATGTTATTAAGTT